GGGCCAGGCCATTCATATCCAAAAACCTCTGCGCACAGCTTGGGTGGGGCAGGGTCTCAGGGAATCAACAGGGCGGAGCAAACAGCTATGGCTGATCTCAGCCCTGCCCTAAGAGGCCCTGGGTCTCAGTGTCCCTCGGTAATCCCTGCAAGCACCTCTGAGAGAAAGCCGCCCTTGAGTTCTGCCCGATGCCAGACAGTCCTGTTTCTCCCTGTATGAGTCTGGGTCCCCAGAGACTCACCCGGAACTGGAAAGACAACTGCATCCTCAGTTGCCAGCCCATTCTACATGCTTCCATATCTCGGCACTTTACTTCCGCACCTCCTCTGAGTCTCAGTGTGCTTTTCTCTTTCCTTCTAGTTGTAGAATTTCCACTCATCCAGCCTTCCTGTGGTTCTGGATGGTGTCCGTTTTGTCTTTTAGTTGTATTTTTGAAGTGGTTATGTGAGGCAGCAATTTCCAGTGTTTCCCTATGCCGCCATCTTGGTTTCTCCTCCCAGTCAATTTTCTTGAAGCTTCCCTACTTTCTTTGGTTTCATGAGTTAACATTAATTTTCAAGTTCCCTATTAATTCCCAAATTCTGTGATGTTATCTTCCCCTCTAGTTCAGTCTTTCTTTTTTACCCAGAATTTGACCTCAGACCCATCTTCTCAAGTGGTGTGCTCAGTGTGTGTGAGAATTGGGCATTGGATGCCTCACTGTTTCAGGGTATTTATTCAGAGAGCAGGGCTGGTTTAGACTGGAGGAGCCCCTTAAGATAATTCTAAGCCAAGGGGCCAACCTGTGTGTGTGTGTGTGTGTGTGTGTGTGTGTATGTGTATGTGTTTAAAAAGCACCACCATATCATCTAATTTTCATTTTAATTAGGTGAACCTTCAAAAGTGTGACATATTTGAACTGAAAGCCCTGAAGGAACCGATAGACTATGTGACTCTAGCTAATAACCCCGAGACTTTGGGAAAAATAGAAGGTTGTATGAAAGTATGGATCAAACAAACAGAACAGGTAATTTCCAAATATCAGTTGCCATGCTACTGAACTGGCCAATGGAAGAAAGTATATCATTTGCTATTCCCATTTGCCTAAGGATTTTACCATGAGTGCTTGAAAAGGTGAGAGGTTCCCCTGGCGTTAATTTAGAGTCATTAGTTAGGAAGAGATAGTAAGAATTCTAAGAGATGAAAGTTAATGACTCTGTATGCTTACAGAACTAGAAGACAGCACTTTGCTATTTTTCCCCTCAAGGCATAATTTACTTTGATGAGAACATCTGTAGAAATCAGAGTTTTCTCATTTAGTGTGTCCTTCAAAGAGAGATCTTGAGACTTAACCTTAAAAATATTTTCTGAAAAGTCCTAAGTGAAGGTGGACATTGCATCAAAAAGTAAACACAATTGAAATTAACCAACATAGGCGTGGGGACTTTCTAAGGTTATATTGTTTCGAGGTTATACATAGTAAGTGAGTATCACGAAGGAAATGTGCTGAGGTCAGGTCCTCCAAAAGCTTATTGTAACTCCTTAAGTGAGTAGTTTTCAGTTGTTAGAAGAAGTAAACTAAGTTTTTGTGGAGGTTGTAAAAATGGATACGTGTCAAGTTAGTAAAAGGCTGTCATTCAAAACATGCAAATGAATAGGCCTGGAGCATGTTCAGATAGCATTACTCACTTCCTTATTTTTTTGCTTATCTGTAGCATTCATATCTCCAGCCTTGCTCAGTGGTTCCCGTTTGTCCTGTGCATTCACAGGTCCTCGCGGAAAACAATCAGCTGCGGAAGGAAGCGGATGACCTTGGGCCCCGAGCGGAGTTGGAGCACTGGAAAAAGAGACTGTCCAAGTTTAACTACCTTTTGGATCAATTGAAAAGCCCAGATGTGAAGGCTGTGTTGGCAGTGCTTGCTGCTGCCAAGTCGAAACTTCTGAAGGTTGTCAGCCACTTTTTGCTGTATGAAGTGGGAAATTCATGTTCTAGGGCAGAGATGGTGAACCTATGACACGCGGGTCAGAGGTGACACGCGAACTCATTTTTTTGTTTGATTTTTCTTTGTTAAATGGCATTTAAATTATATAAAATAAATACCAAAAATATAAGTCTTTGTTTTACTATGGTTGCAAATATCAAAAAATTTTTATATGTGACACGGCACCAGAGTTAAGTTAGGGTTTTTCAAAATGCTGACACGCCGAGCTCAAAAGGTTCGCCGTCACTGTTCTAGGGTATTTCAGGTCACAGAGTAATCAGGGACAGAAACATGTTATTATACCCCCATGAAAAAAATGAAGATTGGAGATTGCCTTTCTATAATTTATGATACCATGGAAATAGCTTTTGAATTAAAGATATTTGTTGGCTGATATAACTGTATGTATATGTATCATTAGAGGACATTGCATGTAATTAAGATAGTACATCATAACATAATTATATATACAGTATGAATTCAGACCAACTAAGAGTAGTAATAATGAAAACTTATATATACATATTTTTAGTTCTGCTATATTAGTTTTATATTGCTCTGTTACAGTTTACCCTCAAACTTAGCAACTTAAAGCAAACATTTAGTGTCCCACAGTCCGTGGGTCAGGAATTTGGGTGCAGGTTAGCTGGGTGCCTCTGACTCAGCATCTCTCGTGAGGTTGCAGTAGGTGTGTTGGCTCATCAGCAGGCTCGACCCAGGAGGATATGATTCCAAGTCACTCATGTGGGTGTTGCAGGATTCAGTTCCTTGCTGGCTGTTGGTTGGGGACTTCTTTAGTTCTTCACCACTTATCGGGTCCCTCACAACCTGGCAGCTGGCTTCCATTAAAGGGCGTATGTGCAGAGTGCAAGAGAGCACCCCACATGGAAGCCACAGTCTTTCGGTAAACTGATTCCAGAAATGACATCCCATCACTTTGTCACACCCTACTTGTTAGAAGCAATGCTAGATTCAGCCCGCAATCAAGGGGTGGGGATGACACAAGATCATGAATACCCGGAGTCAGTGGTTACTGGGAACCATCACAGAGGTGCCTACCACACCTGGCATTGTTGCCATAAAGACAATTTATTAGCCCTTTGCATGGATGTTTCAATCTATGAAAATAATTTAAATAATAATTTGTTTCAATAACTGCTTTAGATTTACCTTGTATCATTGTTCAAAGAATGCAACCATTTCATTGTGCTATAGTTCAGAAATATCAGTAGGACTTCAATGAAGTCAGTTGAACATGTTGGCTGGAACTAAATCATTTCCTTTTACTTCTCCTGCTTTTAGATATGTCCATTTTGAAATTCCTAGGTCATAGCACAGTCCTGGTATATGGTTGGCAGTTAATAAATAATTGCTTCCCTCCTGATGCTCTGTCCTAGTTACTTAATAGGTTTTATAAGAGAAGGCCTAGTAAAACGATTAAAATTACTCTTGAGTGTGACAATGTCCTTCACCCCTCTGGGTTCAGTTTTATGTAAGATGCACAGGACAAAGTGAAAGTCAGACCCAAGGGATCTGTGGTGACTCTTAGCAGCTGTTATATTGGGAGCTTCTCCATTAATAATGGCATTAAAATTGCTTTCCTGTCCTGTGCTTAGACTTGGCGGGAGATGGATATTCGAATCACCGATGCAGCTAACGAGGCAAAGGACAATGTCAGATATTTGTACACACTTGAGAAATGCTGTGACCCCTTGTACAGCAGTGACCCTGTGAGTTAATTATTTCTATCCTCTCAGTCTCCTGATGGCCCTTTTATAACAGCTGAATTGAGGGTAGAGTTTTGGTTTGTAGATATTACAGTCTGTTGGAAACGTCTTAGAAATCTCTTTTTAAGAAGATGATATGTATATATACACACGTCTACATATCTATATCTAGTATATCTATATCTATATCTATATGTCTATATCTATATCATCTATATCTATATCTATGTCTATATATAGCTATATATCTACATCTCTCTATCCATCCATCCATCCTTCCATCTATCAAAGATGTATATGTGCTATTTAAAAAACATTTCTTGCACATTGCATTTTCCATTAAAATATTGCAGCTGACATTTTGGGCTACCCTACTGTGGGAAGAGTCATCGAGCAGGTGTTTTTTGAACTTTTAACTTTAGGAAGTGCCTGCTTTTATTGATTACAAACTTGATGGTTAGTTGACACAACCCCCTTGTCATTAAAAGGATGTTAATGTTTCTTTCATTGAAATAAAGTGTGATTAACTGAATATGACTAAATAACAAAATGATCCTTAAATGTATTTATGGAAAGTGTTAGATAATATTTTAAATTTTTAAGTAAAAGTTACTTAGGTGACATGATTAGACTATTAGAATTTTGCTGAATTTGATACTTGTTTCCCAGAAAACTTTTGTGGTGTCTTCCAGATATCCATGATTGATGCTATTCCTACACTTATAAATGCAATTAAAATGATCTATAGTATCTCTCATTATTATAACACCTCTGAGAAGGTTACGTCTCTGTTTGTGAAGGTAAGTGTCTAGCATAAAGTCCGCAGTGCGGTCGCTGACATTTCTTTGCCAATGGTCACTATTTTGGTAATTAAAAATTACCATATCAATACAACCCAATGTCTCTGAATACTACAATTTAAAAAAAAGCTTAATCCCTCAGTGGAGTTAGAATTAAGTTTATGTGAGAGGCTGATTCTGGCCACATCATGAAACATAATTTCTCAAAGTAATCGTTATAATAAATATTGTGTTATATATATATAATGAAAATGAAAAAAGATTCTTTTTGGAATTTCTTACCTATGTTATTGAGCACATTATTTATTCCGATGGGCAAATTTTAATTAAGAAGAAATGGACTATCTCCTGTTTCATATTTATAAGCTACTGTACCGAATTTATTTGACGCCACAGTTGTTTACTTGGTGTTATTAGGATAGTAATCTCGATAATAAAAGCCACTTGCAATGTTCCGGTAATCCATAAAGCAATTACAGTGATTCTGCCAAAAAACCGTAACGATGTTTAAACCTTATGTCCTAACCCCTAAGTGTTTATGGTGAGCACTGTTGCTTTTCCCACAATGAATGGTCTCTGAGAAATAAATGACTTTTTCATTGCCAAGGCAAAATTTTCAATGTTGTATTAAAATAGAGGAATTTTCATCGTGGCTTGTGCTGTGAATACTAATGCTGTAGGAGTCATGCTTCTTCCAGGGAATAGGGCCATCAGCCTCATGTGCTCAGAGAAAAATTCTTTTGCTTTCTCACCAAGTAGCAAGACAGCAACTCCTGACCACACGTTAAAACTACATGTGGGGGTCACACGGGGCTAGTCCCTGGGCAGAAGACTCAAAAGTCAACTTGTGTTGTTACATTAGTAACAACACAAATTGACTTGCATATTATTTGCAGGCCTTGTTGAATAGAATTGTAAAACCACCATTTATCTAAATGTCCAAATCTTTTCATTATGGGACATTTGAAGCAGGTACAAAAGGAAAGAGAATTGTGTACTGAACCTCCATGTACATATTACGCAGATTCAACAACTATTAACACATGGCCAGCCTTCTTTCACTCATACCCCCAACCTTTGCACTAAATCCCAGCCATCATATCATTCCATGCATACAGTAGTCGTCCAGTTTTCCTTTTAATTTATAAAAAATCCCGAGAAAAGTATGAAGTCTTTTTAAAGTTTGGACAGATGGATAAAATGCAAATAGTTACCTACATCAGCTTTACTCTTTTTTTTCTGTTGCCTTCTCCTATAGACATGTCTGCTACAGATCCAGTGGCATGAAATGATCAGGTGGACAGTCCACATGGCATTTAGAAACTGAGATAGGTGGTAGAGCAAGCTACTCAAGGAGATCAGGGAAACTCTTAGCAGCATTTAGGATGGAAAGTGAATCATTTCTAGGGGGCTTGAATTGGGGATTGTCCAGGGTCCTTCCAACTCTGTGATTTTACAAATGTTTTAGACAATATATGTGTGGAATCTAAAAATGTTGAACAAATAGAAGCAGAGGGAAGTGGTGGTTGTCAGGGACTGAGGGGTTGGCAGAAATGGGGAGATGGTAAAAATGTATAAACTTTCAGTTATATAAGGTGACTAGGTTCTGGGGGTCCAATGTACAGCATGGTGACTATAGTTAGCAATACTGTGTTGTGCACTTGACATTTGCTAAGAGAGCAGATCATTTTTGTTTAAAAAAATTACATTTATTGAGGTAACATTGGTTAATAAAATTATAGATTTCAAGTGTACAGTTCTATAATACATCATCAATATTGCATTGTGTGTTTACCACCCAACGTCAGATCTCTTTCTCTCACCATATATTTGACCCCTTAACCCTTTACAACCTCTCTCCCCCTTTTCCTCTGGTAACTACCATACTGTTATCTGTGTCTATGAGTTTTTGATTGTCTTGTTTTTTTTGTTGTTGCTGTTGTTGTTGCTTTTAGTTTTATAGTCCACATGTGAGTGAAATCATATGGTTCTTGACTTTTTCCATCAAACTTACTTTGTTAAGCATGATGTGCAGGTGGCAACCAATCAATGATTCTCTCTCATCATTGATGTTTCTATCTCTCTCCCCCTCTCCTTTCCTCTCTGAAATGAATAAAAATATATTTTTAAATGCCATTGGGATTTTGATGGGGATTACATCAAATCTGTATATTGCTTTGGGTAATATGGCAATATTTTTTAAAAAATATATTTTATTGATGTTTTACAGAGAGGAAGGGAGAGGGATAGAGAGTTAGAAACATCGATCAGAGAGAAACATTGATCAGCTACCTCCTGCACACCCCCCACTGGGGATGTGCCCGCAACCAAGGTACATGCCCTTGACTGGAATTGAACCTGGGACCCTTGAGTCCGTAGGCTGATGCTCTATCCACTGAGCCAAACTGGTCAGGCTAATATGGCCATTTAAACTATGTTGATTCTTCCAGTCCATCAATATGTAATGTCTTTCCATTTCTTGTGTCTTCTTCCATTTCTTCTAATAATGTCTTGAGATTTTCGGTGTATAGGTCCTTCACATCCTTTGTTAAAGAGAGCAGATCTTAAGTCCTACCAGCACATACATGAAAAATGATAACTACGTGAGATGATGGAGGTGTTAATTAACTTGATTGTGGTAATCTTTCACTGTCTATATTCAAATCATCACATTGTACACCTTAAATATATACAATTTTTATTTATCAGTTGTGCCTCAATAAAGCTGAATAAAAAGGACTAGTGCTTGATCATAATTGCTATGGAAAACAAATAAATCCAAAGCTCAACTCCACAGATTGTATGTCCTGAGAGGAACAAGAGTTAAGGACCCTCTAGTCCAGCGGTTCTCAACCTATGGGTCGCGACCATCGGAAAACACATATAGTATATCAGATATTTACATTACAATTCATAACAGTAGCAAAATTACAGTTATGAAGTAGCAACAAAAATAATTTTATGGTTGGGGGTCACCACAACATGAGGAACTGTATTAAAGGGTCACGGCATTAGGAAGGTTGAGAACCACTGCTGATGGCTGTCTTATGTACATAATATTATTTTATTGGAAAACTCCAGGTGACCAATCAGATGATATCTGCATGTAAAGCTTATATTACGAACAATGGAACCGCTTCTGTGTGGAGCCAGCCACAGGATGTTGTTGTGGAAAAAATATTATCTGCAATTAAACTTAAGCAGGTAATGGTCAGCCTAATAATACATTTAGGTGATGTTTCATTATTTTTATGTTGTGTTTGGTGATGCATCTTAAATTATTTAGCAATTATTATAATCTTGGATGCTAAAAAGAACCGTAATTCTTCACTATTAAGAAAGTTGCATGTTAATAAACCTTCCCAATTTATGCACTTATTTTACCCTCTTTGAGGGCCTCCTGTGTCCCAGCACCACACTACATACTGAAGATACAAAGATGACTCAGATGACTAAGGTTTTCTTAAGCTTCTGATAGACAGATGGGGAGATAGACACAGAGCGAGGCTATTCTCACATGGTGGGACCGGGGTGAAAAGCCTGCTCCTCTGAGTTGCATTATGGATAACTAGGAGTTCACTAGATCGGAGGATGGGAGAAGATGATATTCCAGACTGATGGATGAGTAAATGAAAAGCCTTGAAACTGGCAGGGCTTGCAGTCCCACCCTAACGTCACCGTTACCTTTGCTGAAGAGAATAAGGTTGATATCTTTGTTGTTTTCCCTGTCTTGTATTTTGCTTTTTGATTTTAAGGAATACCAGCTCTGCTTTCACAAGACAAAACAAAAGCTTAAACAAGATCCAAATGAAAAACAATTTGAATTCAGCGAGATGTATATTTTTGGAAAATTTGAAACTTTCCACCGACGTCTTGCTAAGATATTAGATATCTTTACAGCCTTTAAGACATACTCGGTCCTGCAAGATGCGAATATTGAAGGGCTGGAAGACATGGTCACTAAATACCAGGTATTATTTTACAACTGAAGTTGCTGCTCTTATCCATAACAAAAACTTTGATATTTTATGCAAATAACTATTTAAAATGATTCAAATAGTTCATAATGTGAAATATAAGCTCATAGCCCTTAAACAATAAAGAAATCACATTTACTTGAGGATTGTGTAATGGTGCTAATATGTTCTTTTCAGGTGTGTGGTTATGATAATGACTTCCCAATAGTCTAAAATTAATCATCATTAGTAAAAGCATTTTCATTAGTAGCACAAGAAAAGTGCTTAAATATAACTTATCACTTCATTTATTCCTGCAAGAAATATCTAATGAAGCCAGTACTCTGTGTCAGGCGCTCGTTCATGAGTTCTGGGTGTCATGTGATTATCTCTGTTTGTAAGCAATTTATTTGGACACCTGTTAAAAATTAAAAGGATCACATTTTATTGTAGCTTTACCATTCCTAGTTAATTTTACTTTTAACTGCTTTATATTGTAAGGCTATGTATGTGACTAATGTTAGTTTTTAAAATGGGCACACTGATCATGGATGTAGACAATCTTTTTTTTTTTGTTTGAGAACAGTGATGTTGAAATTTAAAATGTTTGTACTTGAATTTGAAAAGGCTTATATAGCTCTAGCCCAGTGGTTCTCAACCTTCTGGCCCTTTAAATACAGTTTCTCATGTTGTGACCCAACCATAAAACTATTTTCATTGCTACTTCATAACTGTAATGTTGCTACTGTTATGACTCATAATGTAAATATCTGATATGCAGGATGGTCTTAGGCGACCCCTGTGAAAGGGTCGTTCGATCGCCAAAGGGGTCGCGACCCACAGGTTGAGAACCGCTGCTCTAGCCAGTTTGTCTCCGTGATTAGAGTGTGGCCCATGGACTGAAGGGTTGAGGATTCCATTCCAGGGCACCTCAGTTGCAAACTCAATCCCTGATACTGGTCGGGGTGTGTGTGGCAGGCAACCAATCGATGAGCCTTTCTCACATCAGTGTTTCTCTCTGTCTCTCCCCCCCCTTCCACTCTCTCTAAATATCAATGGGAAAAAATACCTTGGGTGAGGATTATCAACAACAACAAACACACACACACACATAAAAAAGAAAAGAAAGTCTCATATACTTAAAAAAATTTTCTTTAAAGTCTTCATCTGAGGTTATGTTTTTTATTGATTTTAGAGAGAGAGAGAGGAAAGATGAGAGAGAGGAAAAGAGAAAGAGAGAAATATCAGTATGAGAGAGAAACACCCATCAGTTGCCTTCTGTTGTGCCCTGACCGGGGATTGAACTCGCAACCATTTTGGTGTATGGTGCAATACTCCAACCAACTGAGCCACCCCCCAGGCCAAAAGGATCATGCAGTTTATTGCCAGTTTTTTTTGTACTTAAAGAGTTTAAGTCAACATAAGTAGTCTTTTATTTCCTGAGTATACCAGATTATGGGAGGAAAAAGAAAAGACCTTTCTTATGTAGCAGGAAACATTTTAGGTGAATCCTGTGAAATTTGCAAAATACAAAATCTGTACTTTGAAAGTGACAGTTTTTCAAGATAAAGAGGGAATATATCCATTTATTTTTCAATTTGGACTCTATTCTTAATGAAAAAATAACTGTGGAACCTATTTTAAAGTTTATCTTTGAATGAGAAGTTGAACTATATTTCTAAGAGTGGATAAAGATGGTTCTAACCTGATAAAAATACTGGGAAAAGAAATTGCTTTGGAAATCTAAAGCGAAATGCTAATTAAAATGGATGAGCCAGAGGGTAGTGAGATAAAATGTAGATGGTGCAAGAAAGCGTAAAGTGAGATTTTTGTGTTTTAGTACAAGTATTAGAAGCTTAAAATGGCATCTACGGGAATGTATCTCGGGCTCCTTGCCTGGCTATCAAGACTCTTCCTCCCCCCATCCCCTCCCTGCCCCCCGCCTGCTCCTCTTCTCCTCATTTTATGATCTCCAGACGCAGTTCAGCCCCCCTTTAGGCTTACAGTGCGTTTTTTTTCTGGAAAATTCTGCATTTGGATTTTCATACAGTTATTTCCTCCTTAGCCTCCAGATCTTGATTTCACAACCCTGTCTAAATTGTTTACCTTGACTTCTGTTTTACCTCAGACACTCTGTCACATTCCTCATTCATCACTGTGTAAAATGACCCTGTTCATTTGTCTGTGACTTCCATGGATTCTGACCATCTCTTTCCCACCCAGGTTGTACGTTCCCCTACGGTGGGGCATTTGTTTGTCGTTCATTCCTGTGTCTGCAGCGTTAACTGGTAATAGGTGTGCAGTAAACATATGGTTTCACTCATATGTGGCATATAAAATGGAAAGTAGCAAATGAACAAATAAGAAAACAAACCAAACTCATAGACAGAGATAACAGTGCTATCAGAGCAAAGGGGGTTGGGGGTGGGGGTAGTAAAGGTGGCCAAAGAGTATATGATAACGGAAGATGATATGATATGACTTTGGGTGGTGAGCACACGATGCAATATACTGATCATGTATCATAGAAATGTACAATTGAAACCTATACCATCTTATTAACCACTGTCACCCCATTAAATTCAATTTAAAAAATAAAAAAAAATTACTTAAAATCTGTCAAATAAAGGACTGAAAATCTGCACTTTGAAAGTTTTGCAAGATAAAGAGGGAATGATATATCTATTTATTTTTCAATTTGGACTCTAAATAGATTGAGTATGATTAGTTGGTTTAAAGGTCACAATTAGTTGGTTTATTTACTTAATACTGTTAAGTGACCATTAAATCCAATCATTGAGCAGAATTTTCTAAGAGCTCCAAGTCATTTTAATTACTACATTTAAATGTAGAGATGTAGCTTTTCCATGATTTTTTTACACTCTTCATATGACACGATGGGTAACATAATATATACGATTTCTACTAGTAAATAGAGCTAATTTTGTAGCTATACAGCATGAAAGAAGTAGGTTGTTTTAGCTAGCAAACTTGATTCACAGAGTTATGCAGTTTATACACTTTTGTCTATTAAGATATTTGAATTGATATATAAATGGAAATGACTTTGAAGAGGAGACTGCAGAAGGAGGCCCAACATTCTTCATAAAAATTATATGCTTGTGTCAACAGCGTGGGCTCCCGAGTTTGCGAATGGCTTAGGACCTGGTTAAGAATGATCACAGAGCTTTAAAGCTCATTATTCAGAGCAAACAAAACTTTGGATAATAGTGTTTCAAGGAGATGAATTGCCTAATTTGTCCTCTTGTAGTCATAGACTGCAGCTTTGCAGGGCAGAGAAAGCCAATTAATTCTAGAGAGTCTTTAAATGGTAGATTGTGGTTTGACGTTTTATTTAAGCCATTTGAGGTTTCAAAGATAGTATATCATCTGTGGACATTATAACTGTTTTCTTTCTAAGTTTGTGTTCTGTTAAAGTCTTATTCATTTTCTGGGAAGTCAAACTTCAATGAAAAATATTTTAGTAACTTCTCTGGGCTTGTTTTTTATTATTTCAGATGTGATTAATAAGACATTTTTAGAGAAAACACCTCTCCTACTTTTCAGATGTAGTCTTTATTTTATATTTTTCTCCAAAAGGACATAAAACCTCATGAAAATGCTTTCCAAATGATTTCTTTGAATGCAGTAGGCAACATTATACTGCTATAATAAGCATTAAACAATGTAACTAAAGAAATAAGCTTTTAAGTTGCCTTTTTGGTAATGATTGTTCAGGTTCTGCATTTAAAGGGTATATTTAATTACATAAGGCTAGAATATTGAAATGGCTTATTTCTTTTATAACATTGCAGGGTATTGTTGCCACCATAAAGAAGAAGGAATATAATTTCTTAGACCAGCGGAAAGTGGATTTTGACCAGGATTATGAACAGTTTTGCAAGCAGACTGATGACCTTCATGTAGGTTGTGTAATAAAATACCAGCTACAGGCGTGTTTGTTTTCTTCTCCGTTCTGTTTAATGCTGTTAATCATGACCATCAGCAGGGCAAGGCGTCTTCATCACGGAGGTGACCGGCAGCAACCTCGGCCTGTGTTTTGTGATTTCAGATTAATAATTGAAGGCTCTTTTTCATAGATTAAAGGGTCATAAATATAACTTTGGATAATGATCTGTAATCATAGATGTCTACATATCTTCCATCTTACTTCTTAGGCTATTAACTTTCATCTTCTGTTGAAAGGTAGGGTTATTAGAATACAGAATTTTATCTCCATTTGTTTATTTTATAGTCATGATTATGACCAGAGGTCATTTAAGCAAATGGTCAGTGATGTTTGGCAGGTCCCAAAGGCAAGGCGGCTGCTGGCCTTAGAAACAGGACTGACTCAGTATCTGGACCCCTTTCTTTCTTCCTTCTCTCAGCCACCCTCTCACCCGCTCCTGCCCGCACTACAGGCCAGCCATCTTGACTGTCAGTCTGTATGAACAGTGTATGGCTGCCATCAGCTTCTGAGAACATATCACAGGTCCAGCCCCAGCTCCAATTACCAAAGGAGAATGTTGGGTTGGCCAGTTCTAGCCCTGATCCATGTGGTAAAGCAGGAGAGACAGCACCCCCTTGTGGTCTTTGGGAATATTTTCTATCAGAGGAGGAGAATCGAGGAGGGTAAGGTGAAGAGACAACCCAATAGATTTCTATCATAATTAATCTCCAGACTTTTTCTTCATCCCACTGAGGCAAAAATTTGCACTATTCTGATTATAAAAGGAAAATGGCCATCTTTTACTTCTTTTCTAGAAAAGAAAAAAGTTGGTACACTTTAAGGAAAAAATAACTCAGGCATTTTGGAGGGGTGGGTTAGTGGTAGAATCATAAGAAAACTGGCTAATTCTATATGTCAGGTACTGTTCTAAGCACTTTATAGGTTTTAATTATCCTGTAAGGTGAGTGCTCTTAGTGTCCTCATTTTTCAGAGGAGAAAATGAGGCTCTTTGAGGTTATCTGACTTGCCCGAAGTCACAGCAATAGGTGGTGGTGTGGAGATTAAGCCCAGGCACTCTGCTCCAGGACTTAAGTTTTTAACCATTATGTTATAAGACACATTTCAGTTGCTAGGAAGATGTAATGCCTATAATAATTTCGGCAGTGACCAAGTTTAGGGGAGGATTCAGACATAAGGACAACAGATCTTGATCTCTTCTTGTTGGAAATTGATGGACAGTGGCAGATCCTAATTCTGTGCTCTCTGGTCAATGTGCATGTGTCAGTCTTCACCTGTTTCCCAGCACTTTCTGCTATCTGGTACTTCCTTAGCTTATATGTGGAATATAAGTCGATGGTGAACATCTTGAGGGCAGGAATCATGTTCATTCCTATTTGTGTCTCCAGGGCCTGGTGGGTGGCACCTATAATTGGAGAGCAAAGAATATTTGTGGAATTAAAGTCTGGGTAATGATTTAATAAGAACTAGATTGATTGTAATTAAACAAGCATTTACTGTACATCAATTATGTATTAGGCTTCTATGCTGTGGGTTATGAATATAGAAATAAGTCAAGTAGATTTGCTCTCACAGCTCACAGCAGACAGAAAGCAGATATGTGTTATGATATAAACACAAGTGTGTGTGTGTGTGTGTATACTTCTAATATTAGAAGTATAATATTCTGATATTGTACCAGGCCTTGGGGATCCAAAGATCAAAGTCCAGAGAATTCCTAAAGAAAGTTAGAGGGAGGACAGGCCTACAAAACATAATGTAGAATATGAGAAGTGCTA